CGCAGCCGTGACCCTCCCTGGCAGCCTGGGCACACTGAAGCCAAGGCAGAGTTACTCCTGCCCCCGGACTGAGGGATCAACGCTCCGGGCCGTGCCCAGTGGGGCAGAAGTTGGCGACAGGGGTGCAGTGATGTGGGTGGCCTGGGAAGCATATCCCCCCCAGTGCTGTCACCACCATCACCTCTGCCTGTGACAGAGCTGTGGCTCTGTGCTGCTGCAGGGGCTCTCCCACCTGCCTGGCCAGCAGGAAAGTAACTCCCCACTTGCAGCTGCTTTTTGTCATGCCTATGGGCTTGGTCACCTTGCAGGGGACCCAACCAGCCACCAGCCATGGGAGTGTGGCAGGGAACGAGCTGTCATCCCTTCCTGCTCTGTTTGTTTGCAGCTTTTCCGTTGGCCTCACTATGGGAAGCTCATCATGGGTGAAATGCTGTCCATTAAGGTTTACAACTGCAGCAAGGTGTTCAGTAACAGGTGGGTCCTTTGGCTGTTGAGGTGTCTGGTAGAGGTGGGGGAGCAGATATACTAGGCTTTGCATCTTCTACTGGGAATACAAAATGTATACTGAAAGTCTGATGGAAGGAGGATGAGAAGGATGCAGGTTATAGATAAGGGGTCAAGCTGGTTGTTCTGTATGTACAGTTAAGTATATTAAGTTAAATAAGGGGAATGATTTACTGCTGGCACAACTAACAGAGACTACCTAAGGGTCTAGATCAGACCCCCAACTTGGACAAAGGTAAAACAAGGCCCTAAAAATAGAGCTACAAGCAGACTGGGGACCTGCTCTCACCCTGAAGATCCGTGTGATGACTAACTATGCTGCATCCAAATTCAACGTATCGGTCCATGGGGAAAAGCCCTGAACCTGCGGTGGTATGGTTTAACCTTCAAAAGAGACAGTAATTTAAATTGGAAGGATCAGCCAGAATTTAAAATCCTTCTAGGTGGTCCAGACACAAAACTGGGAACTCAGTGGCTATTCCAGCAGTTGTAAAACACTGCAGGGAAGCCCAAGAATTAGAGGTGACAGATTGAGTGGTGGTGGTGGAGCAAGCGAAGCAGCAGAGGAACCTCCGTTCCATAGCTTTATGTCCTGTTTCGGTATTTCCTTGTGTGACGCCTCTGTTTCCCTGTCTGGGAAGAGTCCCCCCAGCCCTGCTGAGTGCCCAAACACAGGCTGCTCCTGCAAGGCCCAGCTGTGCCAGAGGGGAGAGGTCCTTTGCCCTCAGTGAGTCTGGATCTGCACAAACCTTTAACCACTGATGGCAGCTTGGTTGCAGCAGCTGCCTGGGCACGACTGGGGTGGAGGCAGGACCTGCTCCACGGTCAGTTGTTCTCAGGTGTTTCAGTTGCCAGACTCCCTGTGGAAAGCCCTTCAGAGTAGCTCGGATGGGCTGTGAGCAGGAGAGTGGAGATCCTGGTCTTCCCCAGGATGCAGGCACTGCTGCTATATGCACAGTGTTGCTGCAGCCTCTTGTTTTTGTTCCAGGCTGCTCGGTACCCTCGTCCTCAGCCTTCAGCACCTGATGACATCCGGGAGGCTGATCCTGCGGGAGGCCCTTGTGGACAGGAACCAGAGAGTCACTGGTGTAAGTCCTCCACGAGCTGCCCAGCTATCAGCAATCTGTAGGGCTTTGTGGGAAACCTCATGTGGTGTTTCTCAGGTGGATGAGGGGCAGTCCACGAGCTGTTTGAGCTGAAAAGCACTATGGCATAGTGCACAGGGATGAAGCCATTTCACACCCACCAAGTGGGTCTAGGAGCTTCTAGAAACGTGTGAAGTGGGCTGAGGACTCTGGAGACTTGCCTGAATGAGGAGAGGGAGGCTTAGTGAAACCTCCCCAGGTCTGAGCAGTGTATGTAAGAGGTGGCATTTCTTCTGCTTCCTGCAGCACACAGTGCATGGGTGGGGCCTGCTGCAGGCTGTGGAGCAGAGGGGATCTGAAGGTAGCAGGGTGCCTTAGGACCCACAGTGAGATTTTGGGTTTAACACCAGCACTAGCCAGGTAGCTTAATGAGTGTCTGGGGCAGTGTGAGCAGCTCTGACACCTGACTGCCCCTCTGCTCTGCTCTGTAGGTACCACTTTCCTCCTGCTTTGGTACTGGGGTTCACTGGGCCCTCTGTGCTGGTAAAAAATGAAGACTACCCAAAAATGAGCCATGTCCTGCCAGCTGAGTGTTCAGGCACAGTCCTGTGGGTGCTGGGCAGCCAGAGCTGTGTGCCAGGGCAGTGGGCAGGGTGTGAAGAGCAGAGGTGGAGGCAGTAGTCCTGTGAGGTGCTGCATCCCTGTTTGCCTTTCCCATGGGCAGTGTGACTCAACTCTGCAGTGGCACATGGTGTGCAGCTCTGTGGCCACCAGACCACAAGGCTGAACGGAACAGGCATGTGGCTTTCTCGTGTTGCTGGCCTGGCTAGATCATGGAGCAGGTCCAGGTGGAAACAGCATTTCTGCAATGATTTTTAGCCTGTGCAGCTCACTGGATAAACATCCATGACAGCAAAGAGACAAGGACTAGAGTGGCGGTGCTGGTGATGGTTTGAGGGGACCCCACTGCAAGGTCAGAGCTGCCCTGCAGCCCAGCTCTTTGCCTCTGGCTGCCTCTTCTTCCCTCGTGCTAACAGCAGCACCTGTGCTGATGAGCCGCTCCAACCACAACCCATTCAGTTTTGCCAGGTTAGTTTTGGATTGTGCAGCCCTCCTGGCTGCACAAGGGCTGCAGGGGACAGAAATAAGGCAAGCAAGACTGGACACCCATCCCAAGAGCAGCCTGAGACCCTCTCCCTCAGCTCAGCTGGGAAGAGACATGTTCCCGAGGGAGAGGCTGTTTCACAACTGCTGCTCCTTTAGCAGAGTGGGAATAAAGCCTTCCTTCTAGCCCTAGTCGTGTTCTTCTCTGGGACTTGAGCTATTTGCACCCTTTTTTCTCCTGGTGGTTTGAAGGGGTGTTTTTAGAGACTCAATTCTTCATCCAGCTTTATCTCAAGCTTCTGCATCCAGCCTTTGCTGCTGCTTTTTCTAGTCACTGCACTGCTGCTTTCTCAGGTTCCTCCTCTTCCTCTTCCCATTTCTCTTCCCAGGAATGTGAGTTTTACAGGGACTGAACTCTGAACCCAGCTTGGACATGCTCTTCAGCCTAGTAAGGATTGACCTCCTCCGTGTTGGCAATTTTTGCCTCTGCTGGAGAATTCTCATGTGTTGGTGTTGGTTTGAGATCAGGCTGGACACCTGCACACCAAGGGTGTTCAGACTCATGCTGGCTGTGCCTGTACCTAGCGTGCTCCGTACTTCTCTGGCTGTCCTTCTTCCTTCACTAGCACTGTATCAATGTCTCTTGTGATGCAGACTCTGGGTGTGCTGATGGCTTCTGCAACATTTTAATCCAAGCTATCCTGCTTAGGGATGCTGTTCCAGCTGTCTTGTGCCTCCCACAGAGAGAGCACTCCAACCTCTGCGTATCACCCTGCAAAAATGCCGTGAAGCAGCTCTCAGGGGCCTCTCTGTTTTATATGCTGAATTTGGAAACTTGAACCAGCTTTTATTTCATGAATCCTGGAGTTTGGAAAGCTGTAGAGGAAGGAGTTTGGTTATATCTAGCTTGTTGATGGAGGCAGACAAGGGGAGTCTGGTATAAGTAGGCTTCTTGTGAGGTTGTGACCACCTTTCTTCTTTCTACCTGCTTCTCAATTCTTTTTTTTATTCCATGCTCCCCTTCCATTTTCCCATGACGTTTCTGCCACTGTTTTGTGGCTGCCAAGCTCTCAGGCCATTTCACTTCTGTTTGTAGATCTACATTGAGTTGGATTTGCGCTACCAGCCTCCAAATGGCTCAGCAGGGGCCTGGGTTGAAGAGGACTTTGTCTATCAGATGAAAGACAGGTATGGAAATCCTGGGAAGAGCAAATTTCCAGGCAATTTGTACAGCTGCCTTTGGGATGCAATCCAGCCTCATTTGCTCTCCACCTCTGGCCACGCTGATGCATCTCCACTCTACAGCAGCAATAAGGGGCCAGGACTCTTGGACAAAAATACCTTGTCTTCACAAAGAGCCCGTGACTGTAATGACCCACTGCAGGTGTTGGGAGTCCTGGGACTCCCTGGGAGTCCTTTTGGACTTGAGAGAATTTCTGCAGCCTTCCTGGCTGACAGGAGCAAGACTTCGTTGCAGTGTAGTTGCAGAGAGTGTGGTTTGGACTGAAGGCGGTGCCCAAAGCCAGGGGAGATGTGGGGGTCTGGGTGGAGAGGATGACAGGCAGCAGCAAGACCTGCAGAGTATCACTTCTGGAATGCCAGAGGCAAAGCAGCAGGGGGTGGGCAGTGGAAAAGCATCACTTAGGAGGATGCTGGTCTCCCTGCCAAGATCCAAGCAGGACTGTGGCTGCACACTGGTCTTTGCAGCAAAGCGTCTCTTGTTCTTACAGTTCAGAGTTGATCATCTGCAATCCTGGATTTGAGGAGCAAGAGTAAGTAGGTCTGCTTCATAGAATCATAGAATCATCAAGGCTGGAGGAGACCTCCAAGATCATCAAGTCCAAGCCTTAACCTGTCACTACTGTGACCCCTAAACCCAAACCATATCCTTCAGCACCAGATCCAGACACCTCTTCAACACCTCCAGGGATGGTGACTCTACCACCTCCTTGGACAATTCCCTATTTCTTTGTCTGAACACCCTAAAGGGGAAAACTTTTTTCCTGATATTTCCCTGGTCTCAGCTCCAGGCCATTCCCTCCAGTCCTCTCCCTGCAGCCGTGGCAGGACAGACATCCCCCACCTCCCTCCAGCCCTGGCAGGAGTTGCAGAGAGCCATGAGGTCACCCCTGAGCCTCTTCTCCAGGCTAACCAACCCCAACTCCCTCAGCCCTTCCCCATGTGCTCTGGCCCTTTCCTGCCCTTGCTGCCCTTGGCTGGACTCGCTCCAGTGCCTCAATGGCCTTTTTGCAGTGAGTGCCCAAAGCTGAGCACAGCACTGAGCTGGGACCTCCCCAGTGCTGAGTACAATACCTGAGTGTCTCGGCTCACCCTCCTGGGTGGAGAGCAGTACACAGCCTTCTCACCAGGGCTGATGTGTGTCTTGTGGCATGGTGGGGGGTTTGCAGGACTGCTGAGGGTCTGAGAGCAAGTGAGCTGGACAGGAAGGCAGCTGCACTGGGCAGGAAGCTGGCAAAAGGCCTGGAGACTGAGGAGGAGGAGGAGGAAGAAGATTTCTATGATACATCTGAGATGGAAGTCTCAGGCATCATCTTCAGCCCTGTGAAGAGGTATCCATGGCATGCTCTTCTCTCTTGCCCTTGCTGGAGTCCTGGGGTGGAAAGTGCTAGCTCATGGGGGATTCCTGCAGCTCATGGCAGTTTGCTCCTGTAAAATGTCAGAAACCTTCCATTTTCAATGGCCCCAAACAGGCACTGTTGGAGATTTGCTCACCCCCTGGGCAAGGGGCTATTATTTGCCAGGGTTTCTGTTGCTTGCCTTGGTGGGGACTTACTTGGGTCCATGTAGACAGAAACCTGCTCACCCATGTTGTTTTTCTGTGCAGCCGCTCCAGACTCTGCTCCGCACGGGACCTCTTTGCTATCCCAACCCCGCAGAGCTTCCAGGTACTGCAGCATTGGGTCCATGTCCCTGCAGCTGCCTCTGGCCCCACAGCTGGTCCCTACTGCCTTGCTGTGGGCCTGGTCTTCTCTAACTGCCACATACTCCAGTGAGGTCTCTAGTATGAAGACACCTGTCTGTGATTTCCCTAAACAAGGTTTAAGATCCCCTGAATGGGCTGCATCTGTGAGTGCTGGTCCCAACTTCAGCCAGCCCGGAGAAGAATTTCTTTTTGGGACATGTAGTTAGCTATGGATATACAGGAGAAGGGAATCAGCCACATGTGCCACTGCAAAACACTACTTGAACAGAGTTTCGGAGAGCACCCAGGCAGGCCTGGTGCCTGCCAGGCAGGGCTGGTGCCTTCCAGCTTCCCCAGAGCCTTCTCTGGGCACTCAGGGCTGTCTGTGGGACATGGCTGGGGGTGGAGGGTTACTGTGGGGACTTGCTTGGACACTCTGGAAATCTGGTATGAAGCTGTGGCTCTGGCTGATGGTCCTGACATCAGATTAATTTGATTTCAGGGCAGGTCTCCCAGTCAGGCTATGGATTTAAATACTTCCCTGCTTCTAAGTAAATGTAGACTCACATTTGGTCCTATCAACCAAAATTTTTGTGGGGGTCAAATTTCCAACCATCCTATTATTGAAGCTGTTATTCTGCACCTTTACAATGGCCTAGTTTCTTGTACTGAGAGCAAATGTGAGAGCATTTCTGTATCTTAGACTCATAACCAGTTGCAGCAAATAAGACAGCCACGTTCCAGTCCATCTCAGTAGGATTCAAGGAGAAGTATTGACAGAAGATACAAACAGCACCTTTTCCAGATGCTCTGTGGACCCCACCATGTGGGAGCAGTGGGTTTGCATCCCCTTGGGATCAGGAACTGAGGGTAGAATGCTGCTGGAAGCTTCATTTACCTGCCTGTCTGAAAGGAACAAATAGCTCAAATACCATTTTGGTCTGCTGTGGCTGTAGCAGATTTCAGCAGCCATGTGTCCACCCCTGCATCAAGAGGGCCCTGCACATGTGCACACTGGTACTGTGGAAATAGGCTCAGGATGGCAGTGGAAACAAGGAGAGTGCTGATCCAAAGGTTTTCTGTCACATTTTCTCAGGTTGGCATTAATGTAATTGAAGCCCAGAAGCTGGTGGGGGTGAACATTAACCCCTTTGTTGTAGTCAAGGTTGGAGAAGAGAAGAGGCACACAGCGACGCAGAAGTCAACAAACTGCCCCTTCTACAATGAAGTAGGTGACATGGACAAAGTCTCTGCCCTTGCCCCATTGGTGTCTCTAGTGCCTGGGACCACCCTGGGAGCCTGCAGTTCAGCTGTATTGCTCTTGTCTTTCAGTACTTTCTGTTTGAATTTCATGAGCCAAGGGACATTTTATTGCATAGACTCATAGAGATCTCGGTAAGTATGTCCAATTCATCCTCCGTGGTAAGTGGTGCAGCCCAACGCTTCTGCGCATAGACACTGGGAGCAATGAGCAAAGCAGAGGTACCAGTACCAGCCTGGTGTTCCAGCCAGAGGCACCTGTCCACAGAGAGACCAAAGAGCCTTCCTGCAGCCACAGTGGGTAGAGACTCAGCCCCACTCTGAGCCAGTGCTGGGCAGTGATGCCTTCCCACCTCCTCCAGCTCAGAGTCTCCCTGCACCCTGTGACTGAACTGGGAGCTCTGGGGCAGTTTATTGCCTGCTGCCTTGTTGCCCTGCTGTTCTGGGGGCAATTCCCTGCTGCCCCTTACTCTGGAGCCTCATCCTGCAGGTTGTGAAGACAAAGGACTGGTATGAGGGAGCTCAGCAGTGATTTGTGCTATAGAAAAGCCCAGGCAAGCAGAGGGGGTTTCAGAAATCCCCTGACCCAAAGCATAAGGGCTTTCCCATGACATGGGGCTGTTACAAAGGTAGCTAAACCCAGCCAGCACATCCTTGACCATGCAATCACCAGCACTTTCCCTGTCAGAGGCTGCACTTCTCTCCTGCTGGTGTGTGTTCAGTCAGCACTGAGCAAGGCTCAGGTTTTGAGAGAGGCATTAGCCTGGTGGGGGTATTGCTCTGCCCTGACCCAGCAGGATACACAGGACTCTGTGGGAAAGCAGGTCTGCCCTAGGGCTGTCACAGGGGTTTGGCTTACCTGGAGCTGGCAGAAACTGAATTAGTTGCACGTGACTTTGCCTTGGCCCAGGTTTGACTGATGGATTTGTGGAAATGGTTGGGCAGGAATGGGTTTGTCCCAGGGCTAACTCAGGTGGGTCGATGTGCATGAGGGGCTTGCAGCTGCTGTCCCAGCTGTGCACTGGGGCTGCTCTTAGCAGCCCTGTCCCCCCCGGAGCTGTCTGAATGTGTCCCGTGGCTGCCCACACCTCATGGTGCTCAGGGAAATTTGTGCTGCCTGCAGGTTTTTCACTCAAAGAAGATCCCATTCCTGGGAACGTGCATAGGAACGTTCAAGATGGATGTTGGGACAGTGTACAGCCAGCCAGGTATGAGGCACTGCACCGTGTAAATTGTGCTCTGCCCTGACTCTGTCTGAAACTGGTGTTTCCTTCATCTCTGGTGGGGCTGCTCAGGGCTCTGGCTTTAAAGCACTTGAACACCAGCACTTGGTTCTCCTCACTCCTGTCTGAAGGCAGGTGTGACACCTCCTGCGCCTTCAGCGGCAGGGCCAGGGCCGTCTTTGTGCAGATGGAGTTGGGATGTGAAGTGGTAACCTGGCCTCTCCCCAGGGAGCTCCTCCTCTTCCCTCTCAGATCACAGGTTTTTCCAGAAGTGGGCAGTGATCAGTGACCCCACGGACACCCGGGCGGGTGTGAAAGGCTTTGTGAAGTGCAACATCTCTGTCACCGCACGTGGGGATGTTGTGGGCTCCCTTCCCACCTCCTCCAGCAGCAGGGATGAGGATATTGAAAGGTAGGTGCAGTGGGGAAAACCACCACTCTCTTGACACTGTTTTTTTCCCCCATTTTTCCCTCTTCACAGAATCAGGCTGGAAGGGCCCACAGTGGGTCACTGGTCCCACCTCCCTGCTCCAGCAGGGCCATTCCAGAGCACATGGCTCGGGGTTGTGTCCAGACAGTTCTGGAATATGTCCAGTGAGGGAAAATCCATGACCTCTCTGTGCAATCTGATCAGTGCTCAGTGACTGCACAGGAAAGAAGTCTCATATTCAGGTGGAACTTCCTGTGCATCTGTTTCTGCCCATTACCTCTTGTTTTATTGGTTACCTCTTGTTTTACCTCTTCTGATGGGGAAAGACCAAGTGAAAAAGACCTATGGTGAGGCAGGATCCAAACTTCCTGCCAGTCAGGGCATTTCCCAGCACTGTGCTCCATGGACTCCAGGAGAGAGACAGAACATGAATTTGCCTTCCAGGAACCTGCTGCTGCCTAAGAGAGTCCCTGCAGAGAGACCCTGGGCCAGGGTCTGCGTCAAGCTGTATCGTGCCGAGGGCCTGCCCAGTATGAGTGCAGGCATCATGGGTGGTTTGTCCAAGATCATAGGGGAGAGAAAAGTCTTTATCGACCCGTATGTGCAGGTCTCATTCTGTGGGCAACAGGTGAGTCTGCTGGGAAGTGGCTGCTATGGGGCTGATTCTCCCTTGTCTGTGTGGCAGCATGCACTGGGCTCATGCTGCCAGGAGCCTCCATGGGGCACAGTGCTCCCACTGGAAAAAGGATGGGAGAGCCCAGGTCTTGCTGTTTTTTAGCAGTGGCCTGGGCTGTGTGGCCATGGATGTGCAATGCTCGGACGAGAAGACTTTCTTGGGACTTCTGTCTCTGCAGAGAGATGCATGTGGGACCACCCCAGCCCTGGGCACAGCCACTGGCTGTGCTGGCAGAGATTCATATCCCTATACATAGGGAGAGAGTCAAATCCTGGAGCAGGAGTCCTTCCTCTATGTCGAGCTGGACTCAGCCTCACTCCCTCAGAAGAGTTTACTGAGCTAATGGCCTGTTTCTGGTACTGTGATATCCATTAATAGAAGAATGAGTCCCTGGGCAGCCTGATGGGCCTGGGGGTGCTCCTAGGGAACCCCAAGACACCTCTGGGTCTGCTTGTGCTTCCTGCTTGCTCCCAGTGTTTCCCTTGGCTGTGCAGGGCAGGGCCAGGGCCTTGGGACAGTCCCCCTTGATGAAGGGCAGAGGAATTGCAGGATGGGGGGCAGGAGCAGGGACACTGCCACCACCAGAGCCTGCCCAGCACCGTCTGCAGGTGGTACAGGAGCATTCCCAGAGAGACTCTGAGGCATCCCTTGCTCTGGTCACTGGCTGGGACTGTGTGACTTCCATTCCTTCTCCTGCCCAGGGGGAAACATCAGTGGAGACCAACACCACTGAGCCGGAGTGGAATGAGCAGATCAGTTTCATCGAGATGTTCCCACCTCTGTCCAGGAAGATAAAGGTCCAGGTGCTGGATGATGCCAATGTTGGTGACGTGGCCATTGCTACACATGGCATCGACCTGCAGGAGATCTCAGACCCTGACAGGAATGGTGAGGCCTGGCACGACTGCCCCGGGGCAGGACATCCTGGGCAGCCTCATACCATGCACCTTGTGCTTGGCTGTGGTGCTCTCCTGGAGGTGGGAGCAGGAGTGGCTGAAGCACACCAAAATGTCCTGGGCTGTCCTCTTGCGGGGGGGGTCTCCCTGCAGCAGCACCCTGGGGCATAATGAGGCTCTGTCCCTGTCACTGCAGGCTTTAACCCCACGTTTGGCCCAGCCTGGGTGAACCTGTATGGCTCCCCCCAGAACTCAGCTCTGCGGGACATCCACAGGGACCTCAATGAGGGCATGGGCGAGGGCATCTTCTACCGCGGACGCATCCTCATGGCCGTCACAGTGGAGATCTTCAGCAGCCCCTGCATGGCAGAGAGGAAGCTTGGAGACAGGAGGAGAAGTGCCCTAAGCAAACTGAAGCTGAAGAAGAAAAGTAAAAAATCCAAGGAAAAAGCCAAAGAACTGAGCCAGCTGCAGGGAGAGGGTGAGGCTGGGAGCTCTCAGGAGGCCGAGCAGCCTGGGGAAGTCACTGTGGAGGTGGAAGAGCTTCATCCGCTCCCCGAGGTGAGTCCTGTTGTGCTGGCATGACTGATCCACGCCAGTCTGTGACATGCACAGTTGTCATTGGAAAGAGGCAAGGCAAGATGCAGCTATGTTGGTACAAGAGCCATCCCTTAGCCTACAAATCTGTTCAGTGGCTTCACACAAGCATCAGCCAAAGCCATGGCTCTGCACCAACCCCCCAGGAAAGCCTGTGCTGCCTCTGGCAGCCCAGCAGTGGTGATCTCAGCAGTATCCATCCCCCCGAGGTCCTGTGGGAGTGCTGGCAGGCACTGGCCATGCCCTGGTGCTCAGGCAGTGTTTTGGCACACAAGGCTCTCAGCCTGATTTCTGTCTCCTTGCTCAGAATGCTTTGGGAAGAAAGGAAGAATTCCTCCTCTTTGCTGCCTTCTTTGAAGCCACAATGATGGACTCCTCTCTCAGCTCTAAACCTGTCAGCTTTGAAATCTCTATAGGTGGGTATTCTGCAGGACCCCATGTCCAGAAACTGTGGGAACAGTGTGAATCTTCCCCTGACAGCCCATGTCAGCACTGCGAGCCCATGCACAGCTCAGGAACTTGGGAAGGATGGGGAATGAGTCCAGGGGGTGCACACAGTAATTTACTTACCTGAAAAGTTTGGGTGCTGTCCTGTGGGATTGGAAATTTGCAGTATTTGCATGAATTGCCTGCTTGGGGACCGTGAGAAGCTCTCCTGAGAGGTGAGGGTGCAAAGAGGTAGAAGGGTTTGGGAGCAAGAAAGGGAAGCAAAGGAGAAGAAGCTGGGATACTGGGGTTGGCCATGTGGGGCTGAGGGGCTGTGACAGCAGGTGGTGGGGAACCAGTGGTTAGAGAGTGGGTCAAAGCCCCTAAGCTGCATGGGTGAAGATGCTTCCTGGGTGGCTGTTGCTGCCCCCAGTGTAGGGGTGTAGATGGCAGTCAGCAGGCACTTGGTGGAGCTGGCAGAACTCGAAGGAATACACAAGGACCTCCTTGGAATTGCCCAGCTCCCTCCTGGACCTCTTGGTTGTCCATGTGATGCTTCAATGGCTGGATGCTACTGAACTGCAAGTTCCCGAAGCAGTAGATACCCCTGTGCTTCTCTTGGCAGGAGGATTGCACTCTGGTTTTTTCCAGCTAGAAAACTTATTTAACAGTGATCCTGCTTACCTGTTTACTGTTCAATGCTTTAACTTCAAGGAAACTATGGCAAATCTGAAGAGGCTGTGACCAAAGGATGGCGAATGATGGAAAAGGGAGAGGTGAAAGAAGAAAAGCAGCCTCTGCTGGATGCTAGTTCAGATAGTGAACTGGATGCTGAAGTCCTGACCAGAGCTTCAACACCACGGCACAAGTCAGTGACGAAGAGCCAGAGACCAGAGCCCATGGAGTATGACAGGTAAGTCTTCTTTGTCCTTCTTTCCCACCTTTCCTGGTCCTGTTCCAGCTTCCCAGCTTGGTTATTCCAGATTTTATTAGAGGTCTTCTCAGCAATGTGGCATGGGTTTCTCCTCTTTGTGACCTTGCAGCTTGCCATGACCCAGCTGGCTGGCATTCTCCACAAGCCCTATGAGTCTTACAATGTCTGCTAGATGTGTGCAGGTGGCCAAGGACAGGGTCCCAGGGAAACTGAGACCTGTCAGTATCAGCTGTCCCTTTTCTGGTTAACAAGCAGCATCCTAAGGGCTTGTTTCCAGTGAGGAAGGGAGAAGAGTACCCTGGTGCATGCTGTCCTATGTTGAGCAGGCAAGACACATACACAAGTTCTTCAGATGATATGTTTCCTCTGGGAATGCTGCCTGCTTTGTCCCACAGGCCTGGCAATGCCTTGGTGTTTGCAATGTGAGCCCTGTGCCCAACTACTATTCAGTCCCACAGCAGCAAGAAAACTTGGCAATGTTCCGTGATCCTGTCAGTCTCATTCACCTGAGCACATGCTGCTCTCTCTACTAGAAACCCTGTGTGCTAGTTTGGAATGGCAAAGGACAGATCCTGGCAGCTTGCGTCCATGCCCATGGTGCTTAGCCCAAAGAAGCTGATTTCTGAGACAGAGTGCAGCTGCTGCTCCCTGTGCTGGGGGTGCAAGTACTGCAGTGTGACATGGCATGTGCTTTCTGCGAGCAGCATCCATAACCTCCTCTGCCTGCTGCCCTTAGGTCATACTGCTGCCTGCCCATGATGCATGAAAAACCCTGCGTGTATGTGTGGAGCTACTGGGAGGATCACGCCTGGAGACTCTGCATTTCCAACTGGATTGTCAAGCTGGCAGAACGCCTGGTAGCATGCTCAGGGTGTTTGTCTGTCATGCTTCTTCCTGGGGTGCTTTCCTTGTTGCATTTGCAGTTGGTCTATGAGATATTTGCTATCCTCACCACCCATGCAAGTCCTTGTTTCTCATAGGGCTCAGTCCTACCTGCCCTTTAGACGGGTGGGGTAGGGCAGTAGATGCAGAGTCACTGCTTGTGCTGTGCAACTGCCTGGAGGGGTGAGTGATGTGATGTGATGTCTGTGACAAAACGTTCCTCTGCTGCCAGTCCTGAGCTGTGTGAGCACTGGGGAGATGCCAGACTCAGCCTTGGGCTTGTCATCAGGAGGATGCAGTCTCTTCCCAGGGCCCTTTTGGGCTCAGAAATTCAAAAGCAGAGCTTGTCACAGTGTATGTGTCAGTGGCTACTCAAGGGCTGAGACACAAGGGGGTGTAACAACCAGTGTTCAGGTTATCCCCAGGCTCTGGATAGTCCCTGGCAGCACAATGCTGACCTGCAGCTCTCATGAATCCCAGCCCTGCAAAAAGGTCAAGATGTTTGTGGCAAATGCATCCCTGCAAAGTCTCACTCTGACCCCTCAGCCAGGTGCAAGCTCTCTGAACATAATGATTTCTCCACAGGAACAGGGGCTGGATGATGTGGAGAAGCTCTTGAGAAGACCAAAGGCTAAAGCAGAAGAACGACTCAGAGAGGTGCTAGAGGAATTTGTAGCTGGATGCAGGTTGGCATGCCCCTGATTTCCTGAGGTTTCTTGTTTTCAGGTTAGGAGGTCCTTTCATGTTTTGCCTGGGCTTTGTGCAGCCTTCTCTCTCATCCTTTTGAGGTGGATGAGCAGAAGAAAGTGAGGACAACCTGGGAAAAGGAACCTGTAGCTTTTGAAGCTTGGAGAGGAACCCCCAGTCCTGTCCTGGGAATCACAGGGGTCACAGATGGCAGGCTCAATGTTCCTGGACTTCTGTGTGTTTCCTAAATTTGAAGGACATTTCCTTCACTTTTTTCAATCACACAGTCAAAAGACCAGTGTTTCAGTCACTGTGACTGCCCCATGGGAGGTGATATACATTTCAGTCCACAGTGTGACAGTAGAGAGGGAGCCTCGGGTGCTGGGAATTCCCAGATTACCTTCTGAATCAACAAGCTTGCCGAAGAGAGGGCATTGCAGAAAGGGAGGCTTCTGATGCCTCTGGATTGGTACCAGGGATTTGGAGCTGTGCACAGCCTGCTGGGTGCAGGGGATGCAGAGCCTGTGCTGCTTTTCTCATTGCAGGCAATATTCACTCAATGCAGAGAGAAAAACGATGGCACATCCAAACAACCTGGACATGTGTCGGACAAAATACTTGCTGCGCAACGTCGTAAGCTGTGGGGCTCGGTGGGGAGTGTTGGGAACCTGTGTCATCCCTGCTCTGGGGGATGCTTCTGGAGGACCACCTGGAATTGATGCTAAGAAGGCAACTTTGGGCTAAAACTCATGGGATCAGTCATAGACAGGCTGAGAGAGTTGAGGCTGTTCAGCCTGGAGAAGAGAAGGTTGTGTGGAGACCTCACAGCTACCAGTCAGGAGCTGAAGGGGCTCCAGGGAAGCTGCAGAGGGACTCTTGGCTAGGAGCACCAGGACAAGGAGTAGTGGGGATAAATTGAAAGAGGGAAATTTAGGTTAGATCTTAGGCAGAAGGTTTTGCTGTGAGGGTGGTGAGACACTGTCCCAGGTTGCCCAGGGAGGCTGTGGCTGCCCCAGCCCTGGCAGTGTTCACAGCCAGGTTGGATGAAGCCTTGAGCAACCTGCTCTGGTGGGAGGTGTCGCTGCCCAGGGCAGGGGTTGGGGCTGGATGATCTCTTAGTTCCATTCCAGCCCCTAACATACTATGATCCTATAGGCTTTTATTCCAGCATCTCCCACTTCTGCTCAGAGCAATACAGCTTCCAGCACAGGGGACAGAGGCCATGGCTGCCTCCAGTTTTGTGCTGATGCTGTGCCCCAATGCCTTCCTTCTTCTCCTGTGGGGCACATGTGGCTGATGACCTGCATGTTGCAGCCCAGTGAGTTGCTGGAGGCCTTTTGGTGCAGGATGTTCCTGCAGACAGGTCTGAGGGGCTTACTGAGAGCCACTGCCCCTGACAACTCAGCCCACAGGCTGAGTACCAATCCAGCAGGTCTGCAACAGCCATCCATCTGCCTGTCCTCAGAAAGGACAACACCTCTGCCTCCCTGCATGACCTGAGCTGTGGTGAAGTTTCTTTGCTAAGTCTGAGATGCTCTGAAAAAGAGAACCAGCCCAAGAGATGAGTTTTCTGGCCTTGTCAGCCCATACTGGATCTGTACCCTGACTTCCTTCTGGATTTCATGATTAGTTTTGGTTCATCTCAAAGTCTCTCCTCAGATGCATAAACTATCTCAGATGTGCAGTAATGGAGGTAAAAGCCCAGCAGTGTGTTCCAGTTTCCAACATCTTCATATTCCTATACTTCTGCAGCCCCAAGTTGCTCCTTGGGCAAAAATCTCTCCAAGGTACTCTCTGGAGCCTTAGAACACCAGCTTCTGAAATGTTTATTTCCTTAGACATCTTTCCACCCCAAGTGATTTTAAAGCTCATGGACTTCTGTTACCAGCTGGTATTGGCAGAGCTGATGAGTTACCAGAGTCTCCAGTTCTTGGCACCCTTCACTCCACAGCTTGTGACAGGTTCCTGGGGGTTTGCTCTCAGCAGCAGGGAAGTGAGCTGTAGTGGAGGTCAGGGCATGGTGGGGCAGGATGGATGTGGTCAGCACATGGAGGTTCCCCCGCAGAGCTCCCACACAGGTGCCAGTGGGGCATGCCTGGGGCATGGCCAGGCATGTGATGGCTGTGCTCTCTGTTCAGATCCTGCACGCAAAGCAGGGGCTCCGTTTGAGGCGCTGGCTGACTCGAGACAATGTCAAGGAGAAGGTTAAGGAGACAAGGAGGATCCTGGCTAAGCTGCGCTTCATGGCTAAAGAGGTACAGCTCTCCTGGGGCACCCCTTTTCCGAGTGGGAGAGGGCACAGGCAAGGAGAGGACACTGGACTGGCTGCCAGGGCTCTCACCATCCTGAGCTGGGAATTTTCCTCTGCTGTCTTTCTCCACTTTGTAAAATTCCAAGTTCCAGCTGCTGGAAGTTACCATGTTTCCTGTCATGGCTCTAGTGAGGGTTGAGGCCAGAGAGCTTTGCAGGGCTGTTGGTGTCATAGCAGGGGTCAAGGCAGCTCAGCAGTGGGTTGGAGGCAGACCTGAGTTAACTCCAGGCCTCCCAGGCCTCTTTACCCTACTAGCCTGGGAAAACAGGCTTTCCTAGACAGTCTGGCTGGGAAAACAGCCTTGCCTGTGCTGCCTGCACTGCCAACAGGGACTGAATCTGGATACATTTTGCAAAATGAAACTTGCCTTGGGATGAGATCTCTCATCCATAGAAGAGACTCTCCACTTTTGGAGTTTCATTTGCTCTACTTTAAGTAACTGAAGAAATCAGTGTGTTCATGTAATGTCAGCCAGAATGCCATTTTTGCTGGCATTAGGTGGGCAGACACTGTTGCAGTTTGGAGAAGTCTTTCACCAAGTGCCGTCAAATAATTTTCACACCTTTAGCTGTGTGAGGGAAAAGGTGAGATGTTTGGAGTGATGGTGTTTGTCTTCCCAATCACCTGTGCATGGAGCCCTGCTGTCCTGGGGTACCTAAAGACCTGCCTGTTCATGGGAAGTGGGAAATGAATTATTTGGTTTGCTTTGCTTGATGCATAGCTTTTGCTTTCTCTACTAAACTGTCTTTATCTCAACCCATGAGTTTTTTCACTTTTACTTTTCCAATCCTCTCTCCCATCCCACTGGGGGACAGTGAGTGAGCGACTCATGGGGCTGAGTTGCTAGCTGGGGTTAAATCACACCACCTGTAGAGCCACACTGCAGGGCTGACTGTCAGAAGCACATGGCCAGCGTTATGCCCTTTGTTTGCTTCTGGATCTCCACAGCACCAGGCCACCAGCAGTGAGGAGACAAGGCTTTCATCATGTCAATGAAGGGAGGACAAGACATGTGCTGTTTCTCTGCTGTGACATTCCTCTCTTTCCTCCCTCCAGCCCCAGTGCACCCTCCCTGATGTACTTGTCTGGATGCTCAGCAACAACAGGCGTGTGGCATACGCCAGAATTCCTGCACAAAACATCCTCTACTCAGTAGTTGAAGAGGAGAAAGGCAAGGACTGTGCAAAGATCCAGACTGTCTTTTTGAAGGTAGAGTTTATATCAAAGCAGTGTGCTCTTGCTTGCTTCATGCTCTTTCTCCCTCCCTGCTTCCAGCCCTCCTTCCTGACATCCTGGAGTTCACAAGGAAACAGCTCTTGCTCCATCGTGGCCTTTTGCCTCTGGATGCAGTGCTCTGTCTTCTGTCCTCTTTGGCTGGTCACTGGTTGATGTGATCAGCTTGGTCTGAGATAGAAAACCTGATAAACCTCCTGTGCTTTCAGGTCCCTGGCTTACACACCGGTGAGATCTTTGCCAAACTGGAAATCTACATGTGGCTTGGGGTAACCAAATATGCGAAAAACTGTTTGGCAGAGCTGCCTGAGGAGTTCAAGTACCTCTCTGAGAGTGGGCAGGAGATAGCCCAGCTCTCAGCATACAGTCCTCCCAGCAGGCTCAGCAGGGATGGTGAGTGCAGGTGCCAGTTCCCCATATCTTAACCATGAGCAGGAGAGCAGGGAGCTGAGAGCTCCTGTCCACAGCTCAGTGGCTGAGGATTAGAACCTGATCTATCATCTCTGTGTCATCTCCAAGGCATGACTGGGACAGACACATGCAGTTTGCTCTTGTGAGGATGTATTTGCACACTCAAAGCTTGAGCAGCAGTCAGTATGATGCTTCACAGGCACTGAATGTACTGCCAAACTGGCAATGGGCAAAGGTCTCCCCCTCTGCTGAGGCTTGGTGGTGCTCCCCCACAGCAGGACACTGCACATTTCACATGTCATGTCCTTCCCAGAGGTACCTGAGCTTGTGTTGCTGGGCTAAACCCTTTGAGATGTACTGGCCTGAGAAGCACAATGAGTGCCCCCAGAATTGGTACCCATTCCTCACAGGATGTGCCCACCCCTGCTTGGCTGGCCCTCTCCATGCATTTTTTTTGCCTCACACAGGACTGCATTGCAGGGATCATTTCTCTTTTTCTTACCAGATTTCAGCTATTTCCAGCTCCGAGCCCATCTCTATCAGGCTCGAGGGATCCTCCCTGCAGATGACAATGGCCTTTCAGATCCATTTGCAAGAGTGCTATTTTCGACTCATTGCCAGACCACCAGGGTGAGACCACTTAAACTCTTGCCTCTGCTGCCTTGGGGACTTGGGGAGATTAAAATCACTGACATGTTGAAGGCCAGTGCTGTGTCAGTCCTGGGAATTTTGTAATTCCAGACACTAAGGTATCTGTGTTCATGGAATATCTGACAATTGTTGAGCGTAGTCACAAAGGTCGATTGGCATGTGCTAGTTGGCCCCAAGTGCTGATTCCACACTTTTGCCACCTCCCCTACTGTCAGCCACCAGCTGCATGAGGCTGTGTGAGAGAGGGGGTCAGCCCACAGTTCCTCACTCGCCTTACAAAGTACATGTGGTTTGTTTCCACTGGCTGTGGAACACTCAGGTCTCCTGTCTCTGTCTGCAGATGCTGGAGGAGACACTGAGCCCCATGTGGAATGAGCTACTTCTGTTTGATCAGCTCATTATTGATGGGAAAAAAGAAGAGCTGAAGACAGAGACCCCCATCGTTGTAATCAACCTTTTCAGCCACAACAAGTTTGTAAGTATGGCTCTACTGCTCTTCTCCTGCTGCTTCCAGAACAGGGAAGGCAGAGTAGCTCTGTGCCAGTGCTGCCACACCTCTGGTTCCCGTGACTCACGTTGGTCCTGATCCACTGGTGACAGTGAGTCCTGGGGACTGTGGCTGAGGTTGAGACTTTCCGGCTCAGATATACCCTGACCCAGGCCCTGATGAGTGGTCACTGGAGCTGGGATCTCTCCTTTTTGGAGGAGCACTGTGCCTCTCCCAGCTCCTGCCTCATTTCCTTGGCAGGCTCACATTGCAGAGAACTCATGGCATGGGGGAAATTTTGTAGTTCTTAGGGCTGTTCCTAGGGTGGTCTTTTGCTGTCCCAGACTGGCTAGAGTGAGTGGGTGGAACTGAGGTGGTGATATAACACAGGGATGCTTTGACCCATTCCCCCCTTTCCCACAGGGCTCCCCCGAGTTCCTTGGGCAGGCCTTTGCTGTCCCACAGGTGAAGCTGGTTGATGAGCCATACACCAAACCTGCCCTGCAGTTCTTTGATTTCTTCAGAGGCACCAAAGCAGCAGGAGAACTCATTGCCACTTTTGAGCTGATTGAGCTGGATTACAGTGGCTACTTGGAGGTAATGGGCTTGTAGGAAGATGCACATAGTTGCCAGTCCTCTGGGGAGAGCTGTGTGGGTGAGGAGCTGGTTGCATGGGACACACCAGAGGATTCCAAGTTGAAACCCTGTTGTGGTTTAACCCCAGGCAGCACTCAACCCCCAGGCAGCCACTCGCTCACTCACTCCCCACCAGTGATGTGGGAGAGAATCCGAAAGGTAACAGCTAGAAAACTCTTGG